GCTTCCTGGTCTCTGGCCTTCCCAGGTCTCTGCCTACCCTCCCTCCCTCGCCTGCGCCGCCCTGCATTCCATGCGTCGAGGGGCGGCAGCGCGCCGCTCCTCACTCCTCCTCGTTCCCTCCCACAGAGGCTCCACTGCAGACTCTCCACCTGGACGTGTGGGGCCCAGCCCCCGTCCGTGGACAGGGCCACGAGCGGTACTTCCTGCTGGTCGTCAACGACTACACGCGTTACACCACGGTCTTCCCCTTGCAGCGCAAGGGGGAGGTCCCTGATGTTTTGATCCCCTGGATCCGCGCTGTTCGTCTCCAGCTCCGCGAGCAGTTCCAGTCGGCCTTTCCTGTCCCGCGTCTGCAATCTGACAGAGGTGGTGAGTTCTCCTCAGACCTCTTGGCAGCCTTCTGTGCGGAGCACGGCATCCGCCAGACGTTCACGCTTCCGGCCTCTCCGCAGCAGAATGGGGTTGCTGATCGCTGCATTGGCTTAGTCATGGAGGTCGCTCGTACCTCCATGATCCATGCGGCTGCCCCCCAATTTCTGTGGCCGTTTGCGGTCCGGTACGCCGCGCATCAGCTCAACCTCTGGCCCCGTGTCTCCTTGCCGGAGACCTCGCCCACACTGCTGTGGACGGGGAAGGTTGGCGATGCGTCGCGTTTCCGGGTCTGGGATGCTCGTGCCTTTGTCCGCGATACCACCGCGGACAAGCTCTCCCCTCGCGCCATTCTCTGCGTCTTCCTTGGCTTTGTCCCTGACGCGCCTGGCTGGCAGTTTTACGACCCCGCCTCGCGCCGTGTCTTTCTGTCTCAGGACGTCACCTTTGACGAGTCAGTTCCCTTTTACCGTTTCTTTCCCTACCGCACTGCCCCTCGCCCCCCCCGCCGCTCTTTCTCTCCCCAGGTCCTCCCCAGGTAGATCCCCTCCCCGCGCCAGGTCCTGCTCCTTCAGGTGTCTCTCAGGTAGACCCTCCCGTACCTGCGCCTGTTGAGGTCACTGTTGACTCAGTTCCTGCTGGGGGTGGTGCTGTCCCTGGGGGTACGGAGTTTGGGGGTGCGGAGCTTAGGGGTGCGGAGCGTGGTGGTGCTGAGACTGGGGGTGCGGAGTCTGGGGGCACTGAGCCTGGGCGTGAGGAGCCTGAGGGTGCGGAGTCTGGAGGTGGTGAGCCTGCGCGTGAGGAGCCTGGAGGTCCTGAGCCTGGGGGTGCTGCATCTGGGGGTGCTGAGCCTGCGTGTGAGGAGCCTGGGGGTGCTGAGTCTAGGGGTGCGACGCCTGAGGGTTCTGAGACTGCTGTTACGCGGTCTCCTTGGAGTAGCCGCCTTCGTCCGCGTGTGACTCTCACCTCACAGCAGCTGCACGACTGGTACGGACGCCGTCAGGGTCGCGTTTCTGGAGCTCGGGGCTCTGCTGCTGGAGGTACTTCTGCTGACGTCACTGGAGCTGGGAGTGGTGCTGGTCCTTTTTCTACTGGAGGTGCTGGAGTCGCTGGTCCCGGAGGTGCTCGTAATGGAGGTACTGGAGCTGCTGGAGGTGTTGTGTCTGAGGGTGCTACTGCTGGAGACCCTGGGTCTGGGGGTGCTGCTGCTGGAGGCATTGAGGCTGGAGACCCTGGGACTGGAGGTGCCGGTTCTGGGGGTGCTGCAGCTGGTGGAGCTGGTCCTGGAGGAGCTGGCGCTGAGGGTTCTGGAGCTGCTGGAGGCGCTAGAGCTGCTGAGGGTACTGGAGCTGCTGGAGGTGCTGGAGCTGCTGGTGCTGGTGGCACTACACAGCTACGCCTGTTCTTCGCTCCGCCGTCTCCGTCGTCTCAGCCACCGCCTGACTCTGCGCTTCACCAGGTTCTCAGTCTCCCTTCGTCTACTGGTCTTCCGTTACAGCCTGGCTCACCGCTGCCTGCTCCTCCGTACACTGAGCAGACAGGGGGCCTTGCTGGTGTCTAGGGGTATTCCAAGGGGACGTGGTGAGCCGTACGGTCCCCTTGCTGCTGCGGCTGCCTCTTGTTCAGCGCGAGCGATGGCTTCTTCAATAGGTTCCTCGTCATCCACGGTAAGTGGTGGGGTGCCCCACCCAGTTGCGGTTGTTCCACTTCCCCATTTCCTTGGTGTGACAGCTGCGCTCCCCCATCCTCCAGTAGGCGCTGCTGCTGCTGGTTTTGCTTCTTCGTCCGCGCGGCGACGCCTCTCTTCTTCTTCATGACGCTGAAACTCCTCAGTGGTCATGGTGCGATGGGACCAGGGGTGTTGGACGTGGTAAGTTTCCCAGGTCAGTGGGAGAGGATTGTTGTCTGCGTCGTGTGCGCCAGGTCCTGTGTAGCGTGTAAGTAGATCTAGACGTTCGTGGACTGTGGAGTCGTTGCGAGTCCTGCGAGGTTGGAAGATGGTGAGTGCTGCTGCAAGCTTTCCGTCGCGCATGCCAGTGGGCTGAGGTGTCTGCCACTCTGCTTCTTCAATGATGTCCATGATGGCAGGTGGAAGGGCAGGTCGAGTGTTCTCAGACTGTGTTGCTGCGGCCATGAGTCGCCGTGCTGCTGCGGCGGAGGATTCTCCTTCTTCAGCTGGTGCTTCTTCTCTGTTGAGGGGTCTGTCTGTTGTGTCTGTTCTGGAGGCTGTTGGGGTACGGCAGTTGCGGCAGAGACCATCAGGTCCAGGTGCGTGCAGGTCGATTTCTCTTGGATGAGCATGGTGCTTGATCCAAGGGCGTCCGCCTGGGTGCTTGGGTTTGCGGCTCCACTTGATGGCTTGGGGCTGAAGGTTGATGAGGTCCCCTGAGTCAGCGCTGCAATCGGGGATGTCGAAATCGAGGATGTAAACGCCGTCTTCGGAGTGAGCTCTGCCGATGTAGCGAGGTTCACTGTCCATGTTGCTGTAGTCCTAGTAGCACGCAGTAGCTCCTAGGGCAGTAGCAGGCAGTAGCTCCTAGGGCGGCGCGCGGCCAGTAGCAGGCAGTAGCTCCTAGGGCGGCGCGCGGCCAGTAGCAGGCAGTAGCTCCTAGGGCAGCAGCACCAAGGGCTTTTTTGTTTTTTTTTTGAAGTTAATTAATTTATTTATTCATTTTAGGGTTTAGCATGGCGCATGGGCGCTGCAAAGGCGGCTCGGGCAGGGCAGGGCAGGGCGCCAGCGCACGCAGGGCAGGGCGCTGGCGCGTTGGCGGGGCAGGGTGCTGGCGCGGGCAGCAGCGCGCACGGGCAGGGCAGCGCTGGGCAGCGAGTGCAGGCCCGCGGCGGGCGCAAAACGCAGGCACGGCGAGCGCAAGGGGCGGGTCCGCGGTGGGCGTAACGGACAGGTGCGGGACGGCCCCGTGACGGGCCGAACAAGAAGTCAACAGCTTTGGGTGGGTGGGACACAGCAGTGTGGAGCCCAAGGACGTGGAGGCCGGAGATGCCGGTGCTATGGCGCTGATTGCTGGTGACTTCCACTGCGTCATCGTCAGAGTTGTTGCCGCCTGAGGGTGTTGGGCTGAGGAGGGAGTCGCGAGAGGAGTCGAGGGGAGCTCCGTCTTCGTCTTCGTCTTCGTCGCTCCAGGGGTGAGGGCCAGGGTGGGGATTTGTGGGATCTTGCTCCGTGAGTGCTGCGTCGGCTTTGTCTTCAGGTGTGGTGAAGCTGCGTGGCGGGCGCTGATAGTCCGCGAGGTTGTGCTCGCCGCGGACGCGATCATTGTGGCGGTCGCACTGGAATTTGCGGATGGAGATGTCCTCGTAGAAGAGGTCATCGCGCACTGCGACGATCTGGGAGGTGTTGTAGTCGAGAATGGTCCAGGCGTGGTGCTCGAAGCTGACGCCGAGGTGAACGCCCCAGCGAGCGCGGCGTTCGAACTTTCCCGTTGTCGCTGTTGCTGGTCGATACTGCACCATGCAGCCCCAGACACGGAGCATGGAGATGTCACCTTGCTTGTTGGTGAACTTGAGATGAGGCGAGAGGTTGTCGGTGTTGGCAGTGGTGCTGAGCAGATTGTGCAGACGGACAGCGTGATGCATGGCATAAGGCCAGTACTTCGCGTCGACGTCGCTCTGCTGCAGCAGGGCGCGAACCTTGGTCATGAGGGTGCGATTGGTGCGTTCCGCGACGCCTTGCTGTGGGTGCGCGTAAGGGAGGGAAAGTTTGTGCCCGATGCCCTTCTCCTGGATGTAAGCCGCAAACTTGTCACTTTTGAATTCAGCTGAGCAGTCCGTTTGCCAGAGCTTGAGGGTGCAGCCGGACTGAGTCTCCGCATTGGCGTGCCAAACTTTGAAGATATCAAACGCCTTACTCCTGTGAGAGACATTGGCGACCCAGACGAAGCGGGAGTGTGCGTCGACGAAGGTAAGAGTGTATTCCTCGCCGTTGAGTCCTGTTTTGGTGAGCACGAGGAAGTCGCTGTAGACCTTTTCGAGCTTTTCGTAGCGGTTGGTCCCGGGCTCAAGGAGCTTAAAGGGCTGATGGGTGAGGGCAGCTTCGGGACAGATGTCGCAGCCAGCGCAACGAGTGGTGTCAACTGGGACTGGGGTGCCGTCTGGGCGCAGAAGAGTTCCAGGAAGAAAAACCTGCGCGCGGATGCAGTTGTTGAGGACTTCTTGGGACGGGTGACCAAGGCGCCGGTGCCAAAGATCAGGTTGAGCGCGCAGAGCAGGAGAACGGATGTAGAAGGCGATGAGTTCAGCAATGTCGCGTTCGGTGGGCTCCGGGATGGGCTGTGGTGAGATGGAGTGTCCAAGGGCCAGGATTACGTCTTGAGCTGTTGGAGTTGGGGTGATTGTAGCGAGGGCTGCGAGTGGTGGTGGAGCATCATCCGTGTCTGCGGTGCCTTCAGGCAGGTCAGGAAGGGGTAGGTGATGTGGTGGTAAGGTGAATGTTGCTGGAGGCCTAGGAACAGGGGAGTCTGAAGGGCCGATGGGGGTGCTTTCAGTGTGGAGTGGGCTGCGGGGATATCTCCGGTAAGGGAGAATGGTATCACGGTCAGTGGGAGGTCTTGAGTTTGTGGAGTCTGAGGAGGCATGTTGGGAGGAGCCCCAGGAGTCAGTGTGTGGGGTGGTGTCTAGGGGTATTCCAAGGGGACGTGGTGAGCCGTACGGTCCCCTTGCTGCTGCGGCTGCCTCTTGTTCAGCGCGAGCGATGGCTTCTTCAATAGGTTCCTCGTCATCCACGGTAAGTGGTGGGGTGCCCCACCCAGTTGCGGTTGTTCCACTTCCCCATTTCCTTGGTGTGACAGCTGCGCTCCCCCATCCTCCAGTAGGCGCTGCTGCTGCTGGTTTTGCTTCTTCGTCCGCGCGGCGACGCCTCTCTTCTTCTTCATGACGCTGAAACTCCTCAGTGGTCATGGTGCGATGGGACCAGGGGTGTTGGACGTGGTAAGTTTCCCAGGTCAGTGGGAGAGGATTGTTGTCTGCGTCGTGTGCGCCAGGTCCTGTGTAGCGTGTAAGTAGATCTAGACGTTCGTGGACTGTGGAGTCGTTGCGAGTCCTGCGAGGTTGGAAGATGGTGAGTGCTGCTGCAAGCTTTCCGTCGCGCATGCCAGTGGGCTGAGGTGTCTGCCACTCTGCTTCTTCAATGATGTCCATGATGGCAGGTGGAAGGGCAGGTCGAGTGTTCTCAGACTGTGTTGCTGCGGCCATGAGTCGCCGTGCTGCTGCGGCGGAGGATTCTCCTTCTTCAGCTGGTGCTTCTTCTCTGTTGAGGGGTCTGTCTGTTGTGTCTGTTCTGGAGGCTGTTGGGGTACGGCAGTTGCGGCAGAGACCATCAGGTCCAGGTGCGTGCAGGTCGATTTCTCTTGGATGAGCATGGTGCTTGATCCAAGGGCGTCCGCCTGGGTGCTTGGGTTTGCGGCTCCACTTGATGGCTTGGGGCTGAAGGTTGATGAGGTCCCCTGAGTCAGCGCTGCAATCGGGGATGTCGAAATCGAGGATGTAAACGCCGTCTTCGGAGTGAGCTCTGCCGATGTAGCGAGGTTCACTGTCCATGTTGCTGTAGTCCTAGTAGCACGCAGTAGCTCCTAGGGCAGTAGCAGGCAGTAGCTCCTAGGGCGGCGCGCGGCCAGTAGCAGGCAGTAGCTCCTAGGGCGGCGCGCGGCCAGTAGCAGGCAGTAGCTCCTAGGGCAGCAGCACCAAGGGCTTTTTTGTTTTTTTTTTGAAGTTAATTAATTTATTTATTCATTTTAGGGTTTAGCATGGCGCATGGGCGCTGCAAAGGCGGCTCGGGCAGGGCAGGGCAGGGCGCCAGCGCACGCAGGGCAGGGCGCTGGCGCGTTGGCGGGGCAGGGTGCTGGCGCGGGCAGCAGCGCGCACGGGCAGGGCAGCGCTGGGCAGCGAGTGCAGGCCCGCGGCGGGCGCAAAACGCAGGCACGGCGAGCGCAAGGGGCGGGTCCGCGGTGGGCGTAACGGACAGGTGCGGGACGGCCCCGTGACGGGCCGAACAAGAAGTCAACAGCTTTGGGTGGGTGGGACACAGCAGTGTGGAGCCCAAGGACGTGGAGGCCGGAGATGCCGGTGCTATGGCGCTGATTGCTGGTGACTTCCACTGCGTCATCGTCAGAGTTGTTGCCGCCTGAGGGTGTTGGGCTGAGGAGGGAGTCGCGAGAGGAGTCGAGGGGAGCTCCGTCTTCGTCTTCGTCTTCGTCGCTCCAGGGGTGAGGGCCAGGGTGGGGATTTGTGGGATCTTGCTCCGTGAGTGCTGCGTCGGCTTTGTCTTCAGGTGTGGTGAAGCTGCGTGGCGGGCGCTGATAGTCCGCGAGGTTGTGCTCGCCGCGGACGCGATCATTGTGGCGGTCGCACTGGAATTTGCGGATGGAGATGTCCTCGTAGAAGAGGTCATCGCGCACTGCGACGATCTGGGAGGTGTTGTAGTCGAGAATGGTCCAGGCGTGGTGCTCGAAGCTGACGCCGAGGTGAACGCCCCAGCGAGCGCGGCGTTCGAACTTTCCCGTTGTCGCTGTTGCTGGTCGATACTGCACCATGCAGCCCCAGACACGGAGCATGGAGATGTCACCTTGCTTGTTGGTGAACTTGAGATGAGGCGAGAGGTTGTCGGTGTTGGCAGTGGTGCTGAGCAGATTGTGCAGACGGACAGCGTGATGCATGGCATAAGGCCAGTACTTCGCGTCGACGTCGCTCTGCTGCAGCAGGGCGCGAACCTTGGTCATGAGGGTGCGATTGGTGCGTTCCGCGACGCCTTGCTGTGGGTGCGCGTAAGGGAGGGAAAGTTTGTGCCCGATGCCCTTCTCCTGGATGTAAGCCGCAAACTTGTCACTTTTGAATTCAGCTGAGCAGTCCGTTTGCCAGAGCTTGAGGGTGCAGCCGGACTGAGTCTCCGCATTGGCGTGCCAAACTTTGAAGATATCAAACGCCTTACTCCTGTGAGAGACATTGGCGACCCAGACGAAGCGGGAGTGTGCGTCGACGAAGGTAAGAGTGTATTCCTCGCCGTTGAGTCCTGTTTTGGTGAGCACGAGGAAGTCGCTGTAGACCTTTTCGAGCTTTTCGTAGCGGTTGGTCCCGGGCTCAAGGAGCTTAAAGGGCTGATGGGTGAGGGCAGCTTCGGGACAGATGTCGCAGCCAGCGCAACGAGTGGTGTCAACTGGGACTGGGGTGCCGTCTGGGCGCAGAAGAGTTCCAGGAAGAAAAACCTGCGCGCGGATGCAGTTGTTGAGGACTTCTTGGGACGGGTGACCAAGGCGCCGGTGCCAAAGATCAGGTTGAGCGCGCAGAGCAGGAGAACGGATGTAGAAGGCGATGAGTTCAGCAATGTCGCGTTCGGTGGGCTCCGGGATGGGCTGTGGTGAGATGGAGTGTCCAAGGGCCAGGATTACGTCTTGAGCTGTTGGAGTTGGGGTGATTGTAGCGAGGGCTGCGAGTGGTGGTGGAGCATCATCCGTGTCTGCGGTGCCTTCAGGCAGGTCAGGAAGGGGTAGGTGATGTGGTGGTAAGGTGAATGTTGCTGGAGGCCTAGGAACAGGGGAGTCTGAAGGGCCGATGGGGGTGCTTTCAGTGTGGAGTGGGCTGCGGGGATATCTCCGGTAAGGGAGAATGGTATCACGGTCAGTGGGAGGTCTTGAGTTTGTGGAGTCTGAGGAGGCATGTTGGGAGGAGCCCCAGGAGTCAGTGTGTGGGGTGGTGTCTAGGGGTATTCCAAGGGGACGTGGTGAGCCGTACGGTCCCCTTGCTGCTGCGGCTGCCTCTTGTTCAGCGCGAGCGATGGCTTCTTCAATAGGTTCCTCGTCATCCACGGTAAGTGGTGGGGTGCCCCACCCAGTTGCGGTTGTTCCACTTCCCCATTTCCTTGGTGTGACAGCTGCGCTCCCCCATCCTCCAGTAGGCGCTGCTGCTGCTGGTTTTGCTTCTTCGTCCGCGCGGCGACGCCTCTCTTCTTCTTCATGACGCTGAAACTCCTCAGTGGTCATGGTGCGATGGGACCAGGGGTGTTGGACGTGGTAAGTTTCCCAGGTCAGTGGGAGAGGATTGTTGTCTGCGTCGTGTGCGCCAGGTCCTGTGTAGCGTGTAAGTAGATCTAGACGTTCGTGGACTGTGGAGTCGTTGCGAGTCCTGCGAGGTTGGAAGATGGTGAGTGCTGCTGCAAGCTTTCCGTCGCGCATGCCAGTGGGCTGAGGTGTCTGCCACTCTGCTTCTTCAATGATGTCCATGATGGCAGGTGGAAGGGCAGGTCGAGTGTTCTCAGACTGTGTTGCTGCGGCCATGAGTCGCCGTGCTGCTGCGGCGGAGGATTCTCCTTCTTCAGCTGGTGCTTCTTCTCTGTTGAGGGGTCTGTCTGTTGTGTCTGTTCTGGAGGCTGTTGGGGTACGGCAGTTGCGGCAGAGACCATCAGGTCCAGGTGCGTGCAGGTCGATTTCTCTTGGATGAGCATGGTGCTTGATCCAAGGGCGTCCGCCTGGGTGCTTGGGTTTGCGGCTCCACTTGATGGCTTGGGGCTGAAGGTTGATGAGGTCCCCTGAGTCAGCGCTGCAATCGGGGATGTCGAAATCGAGGATGTAAACGCCGTCTTCGGAGTGAGCTCTGCCGATGTAGCGAGGTTCACTGTCCATGTTGCTGTAGTCCTAGTAGCACGCAGTAGCTCCTAGGGCAGTAGCAGGCAGTAGCTCCTAGGGCGGCGCGCGGCCAGTAGCAGGCAGTAGCTCCTAGGGCGGCGCGCGGCCAGTAGCAGGCAGTAGCTCCTAGGGCAGCAGCACCAAGGGCTTTTTTGTTTTTTTTTTGAAGTTAATTAATTTATTTATTCATTTTAGGGTTTAGCATGGCGCATGGGCGCTGCAAAGGCGGCTCGGGCAGGGCAGGGCAGGGCGCCAGCGCACGCAGGGCAGGGCGCTGGCGCGTTGGCGGGGCAGGGTGCTGGCGCGGGCAGCAGCGCGCACGGGCAGGGCAGCGCTGGGCAGCGAGTGCAGGCCCGCGGCGGGCGCAAAACGCAGGCACGGCGAGCGCAAGGGGCGGGTCCGCGGTGGGCGTAACGGACAGGTGCGGGAGGGGCGAATGGGCGGCCCCGTGACGGGCCGAACGGGTAGGCGCGGCGGCGCGAAGGCAGGGCCCGCAGCGGGCCTAACGGGCAGGCGCGGCAGCGGGCGTAACTGGCAGGCGTGGCGGCGTGAAGGGAGGGCCCGCGGCGGGCTAAACGGGCAGGCGGTAGGGTGCAACGCGCAGGGCAGCAGGGCGCTACGCGCGGGCTGCAGCAGAGCACGACGCGCGGGGCAGCAGAGCGCGACTCGCGGGCTGCAGCAGGGCGCGACGCGCAGGGCAGCAGGGCACGGGGCAGGGCAGGGCATGCGCGATGCAGCGCGACGCGGGGCAGGGCAGGGCGTGCGCGAGGCAGCGCGACGCGGGGCAGGGCAGGGCGTGCGCGAGGCAGCGCGACGCGGGACAGGGCAGGGCGTGCGCGAGGCAGCGCGACGCGGGGCAGGGCAGGGCGTGCGCGGGGCAGCGCGACGCAGGGCTCGGCGTACAAGTGCAGTGTGACGCAAGGCAGGGCAGGGCAGGGCGCGCGCTGACGGCGCAGCGCAGGGCAGGGCGTGGGGTAACGCGGTAACCGCAGTCGGTCACTAAGTAATGGTGGGCCCGAAAAAAAAACGGTCCTAGGCTAGGACCTGCTCTGAAACCATGTCAGGAGAATGAACGAGGAATGAAGATGACTAGTAGTAGGATGGGTACAAGCGCTAACCCTAATTGGGTTGTACCCCATATGGGCTACCCCACTACAGCCTACACAATTAGCAACATATAAGTTTGACAGTATTGGTATACTGTTGGGGTACTGTGGCAGGAAAAGTCAAGTACGCGCTAAGCAGGGACGCGAAGAAGGGAAAATGGAATTTCCTTACAAAATTGGCTCAAACTGCTTTAACAAGAATAAGGGAAAGTTATAGAACAATTTTCTAAAATTGAGTTACGATACTGACAAAATTATATAAAGAACTATTCAATCTAGATGCTGGATATATAATTTCTAATGTCGAGCAACGAGTGGTGTGACGAATGGACTTACTAGAAATGCATGCTCCACCAGGAAATACTGGTATTTTAAAAGGTAAGTTGGTGGTAACTAGCGCAATCAACATGCAAGAAGACATCTGGGCCATTGGTTCGAATAACCAAGTCGCGTAGCATAAACTCAGACTTATTTCAGGGCACCAGTGGGCCCAAAGCACTCCGGTCGAAGCTATAAAACATCCCCCCACCTAACCCCGTCCTTTCTCTCTCTTCCTCCCCCCCATGTCCTTCACGGCCACCTGCCCTCCCCTTCACTACACTCGCCTGCTCCCCATCGTCGCCTCACTTCCCTCTCTCCCATGTCGCCATACCACGCGACCACACGCTCCCACCAAAAGCCAGCCACCCTCTTGCAGCCTCAACCTTCCTACAGTGCACCTACACGCTCCTTCCACTACATTCTCCTCCCACTCCCCTTGCTTTGCCCTGCCCCGCCCCTTAGCATGCTACGCGCCTTGCCTCACCTTGCATGCTTCTCTGCAATGGCGGCCCCTTGCTGCACCTCATTGGCCTATTTTGGGCAAATAAAAGGGCAGCAACAGGAACAAGTCAGGACAGTGAGTGGAAGCGGGTTTGCATAGTGGTATATGCATGAGCTTGTGATTAGTTGACTGCAAATTGCAATTCCATCACCAACGGTGAAAGTGTGTGTTTCCTTACAATAAAAGTGTGTTGCTGCTTCGTTGTACCATAGGTTTTTTCTTGCTACTCTTCCTGCCACCAATGCATTCCCTCCATGCGTTGCCTTCCCATCGCTCCTACATGGATCATCAGTGGAATCAGGCGTGCATAGCATGATAAGCATAGCATAACATGCTGGCAAGCATAGCATAACATGGGAAATAGACGTGGGATTGTGGATAACAGACATGGTCCACTGGAGATCCTCGATTGATCCTAGGGAAGGGTTACAGACACGTCGGCCTGAGGGGGTTATGGGCGCACTCACGCGCTACACAAACAAGCCCTTTTATCCCAGTGGTTAGTGGCAGGGATTCTAACATGGTATCAGAGCGAAGGTCTCATGTTCGAATCCCGGTATGTGCACCTCGGGCATCCACGTGCGGAGGGGTGTCTGAGGTTCACTTGAAATTCCTGATTGATCCTAGGGAAGGGTTACAGGCACGTCGGCCTGGGGGGCGATGGGCGCACTCACCTGCTACACAAACAAGCCCTTTTATCCAACTGATTAATGGCTAGGATTCTGACAGGTATGACATGGGCAACTGTTGAGGATTGCAGACGACTTTGAGACTGGCCTTAAGACCAACCTTGAGACCAGCCTAGCCTTGGGAGCAGCATTGGGACCACCCTTGAGACGACCCTTGAGACTGACTTTGGGGGACTGGCCTTGTGGATATCATTCTACCCCTCCTCATCTAGCTCAACCCACAGCAAGGTGAGACCGTTGGTGAAAGTGAACGCGGTCATTCTGCAGAAGTCACATGCACCCATGTCGACACGGAGAAATGACAGTGAGAGAATGCGTGGGAGGGAGACTGGTATGAAGGTGTCACGATCGTAAGTATATAGATGGATGTTTCATCGTGTCAGGAAGCAATGCTCCTGCACACTTCCCTCATGCGGTGAATCTACACCAAAGCTTGTAATCAATAAACAGCACGGGTCAAATGCGCATGAGGGGAGTGCGCATATTGATGTGCATAATGATTGGAGTGCGTACAAGAGGAGTGCGCATACACAGGGAGGAATGAGCAGAAAAGATGGCGAAGAATAGCGATGGCGGGGGGAGAATAGCTAGAGTCGCGCAAAGGGCTTCTACGCTTTCCAAATTAAAACGGTAAGGTTTAGTACTATTTTGTGCGATTGGAAGGCCTTTGGGTTCGAAGTTCGTTCCCAGGAGGATTGTTGGACAAGGAAACACTGGAAATTATAAAATTTTCAGAAGGGGCACCACTGGCAAATCCAGGTGCGTAGGGAAATCCATCTCTATCGACATGTCATGGGAGAACTCACTGTTTGTGCCGCCACGTCATGGGGCACAGGCGGCACGGCCCGGCTTCATTCGCAACCCCGTTCCAGTTCAGGCATTCTACAGTTGATGGACGCGTGCAATGCGGACAGTTTGCAAAATAGAAAACGCCGGAATTCACCATCATTGCACAGAGAACCCCACCAACACTCATGCTCCACCAGCCCTCTGTCCCTCAATCGCAAGCTGGCAAGCCAGGTCAGTCCATGGTTACCACCGGCCCAGCGTCTGCGTCGTGCACCAAGCATGTTGCCGAGGCACGCAGGTGCCCAAAGTGTTATCTTCGAGGGGCTTGGCTGCCAAGCCTAGGTTCTAGGTTTGGATGTGTGGTGTTTGATTCAGTGGCGATTTATTAGCACTTTTGGCAAAAGAGCATAAAATTCACCGTCTTTCGCATTCGATATCCATTGTTCATTCCGCAGATGCAGTTTGTAGTGCAACACCACCGCAGTGAACGATCGCAATTTCCGAGAGAGACAAGTCACACGAGCGAGCCACAACAACTGAGAGAACGACCCTGCGGCACTAGGCAATGATTTGAGCCACTGGCAAGAGGAGCGAGCAGGAACAGAGGCGAGCTGGAACAGACGCCGCACAGAGTGATATTTGGCCGCGGACTGGACAGCAATCTCTCATTCGGTTCCGAGAGTGTCGGTCGATAGCCAGCAGTTGTAGTAGGTGTGCTTCCCAGCCGAAACATCTCACTTCCACTTTCCCACACCGTTTGGAAACCGCGTATTGGACCATCCGGTAAGTGCGATTTTTTGGCGATTTTATGGTGATAATTACCACTTGATTGTTAGTATCTGAGTGACGACAGAAAAGCTGACAAGACAAGCCGAGGCGGGTAGAGGAATAAGCTATTACCGACAAACTTGATATTTCAGCGGAGTGGCGTGGCGTGGCGCGAGCCTTAGCTGTAGTACCAAACTTCGGTATCGTTAAAATCGCGGCGATGGCGGAAGTCGAGCACCAACAGCGTCAGCAAGAGCAACAAGAAGAGCACAAGTTAGAGCGCGGCGAGAAGGACGCGGACGTCGTGAAGAGGCCATGGAGTCCCGAGGAGGACGAGCTGCTCATGCAGATAATCGCCAAATACGGGCCGCGCAATTGGTCGCTCATCGCTCAAGTGCTCAAAGGGTGGTCCATAAAGAGCTGTCGGTTGCGATGGTGCAATCAACTGAATCCCGAAGTACGTATCGTGCTTCGTCGGCGTTGCTTATTTCCTCGTCTTTTCTTCATTGTCGTACGCGCTTACGGATCGCATTTTCAACCTCCTTGTGCCACATTATCGATATCCTCGCGTCGCCACTTACTGAGGTTTAACGGTAATCCTTATGCTCGGCCTTTCGTCTTCCAGGTCAATAAAAACCCGTTCACGGACAAAGAGGACCGAATAATCGCCTTGGGACACGCGGAGCACGGCAACAAATGGACCGTCATCGCGAAGAGCTTGCCCGGTCGCACGGACAACGCGATTAAGAACCGCTGGATCTCTACACTGAAGCGGAAATACCCCGCCCATTCTCGCAGAAATTATCAAGAACATGGTACGTA